CTGTGATGGTTTGTAGTGACTGATTAGATTGTAGAATAACACAATGAACTTGGTTAAAATTAAGATTCATTTAAAAAATAATAATAAAAAATACAAGAGAAGGTCAAGGAAAACAAAGGAAAACATGGAGAATCTGACGTGGCATGAGCACACACACTGCTTGGCTGCAGAACTGACAGGGGCTGATGAACAGAGTGGAGACACCTAAGCTAAATGACAACTGAGAACAGGTGAGAGTGGGCGGGGCTTGAGCAAAAATGCAGATACTGACTGTGGAGAATTGATTGATGGCACTGAGGAACTATTAACAGTGCCAGTCACACCATCAGTTACCTTAACATGCATGTTTTCTGTGGGAGTAAACGGAGTAAACTCACACATGCACAGGGAGAGTTTGGAACCCATAGCCAGGAGGTGATCTTGTAACCTTTCATGCTTTGAGGCGACTTATTCTGCTGCCATGCCATTTGACAACGAAACTGATTAATTCAAATAAAGAGATCCCTTCTTTCTGAGTTATTAACTGACAAACAAGTCATTACCATAATCAGTTGAAAGCACAAATCATAAATCCAATTATACAATTACTTATGTCAGTGGCACACCTTTTAAAAACATTGTGAATGTAAGTTTAATTTAATGAATTGCCTGATGGCGTTAACGTTGATATTTTGCTCTGCATATTCCTGTCAAAGCTGTTCTAACACCAGGGTAAAATCTACATTTTAGATGCTGCTGTAGAGCAATATTAATGGTTCATCTAATGTTTGCAAGTTGTTTAGTGCAAAATTGACGTCAAACCCCAACAGTTAAGATGCAAGAGGATTTGTGGTAAAAACAGTGCAAAACACCAAAGAAGTAAATGTTTTTTTCATTGAAGTTATTGGCAAAAAAACACAAAAAAGACCAAAAAAAAAAGAGAAGAAAATGTGGAGTTCATTTTAGTTTTTAAACATGAGTACCACCCATATGACAGAATGTTTTCATTCTGAATTGGTGGGGAGTGTGTGTGTTTTCAAAAAGAGCAGAGCAAATTTTGTGTTGAAGAAAACACTGATTAAGATCTGAACCAAAGTAAAATCTGAACATGTAAAATACAACACCAATTTCCTCCTTACCTGAAAGTAAATAAATAAAAAAATGTATTTCTTGCAACCCTCTGGGCTTGACTGCTTACATTACAGTAACATTTTATCCAACTCAGAGGGAGGCTCACATACAGATGCCTGTCTTTGGAGCTCAGTGATGCCTGGGCACACACTGTTTATGACCACATCCTTTGTCCACCACAGTCTGAGACCACTCTGACCGCTGCTGGTCAGAACCCCAACCAGCACCGCCGCGGAAAATTCTCAGTGGTCAAAGTCCTTTTACTTTCCATTGCAATATGCAGCAAAAACATATTTTACTGCTCAGAAAAAAGATACCATTGTG